ACTGTAATAGCGGTCTGTCATATGTATGCCAAAGATTCCTGCATGCCACAAATTTCACATTTCATGGCCTACTTGACCAATTCTTGAGCCTATCTACAATTTTACAACTTATTTAGCAGTCTGAGTTTTCATCCTGGTAGTGATTCTGTCTTTCACTAATAGAAAGGCTAAAGACAGGCATCCTTAGAAGCCTAGCTAGGTAACACTCCAGGGAATTACCCATATTAGGGCACAAAAAGAGTTTGCTTCTGATAGTCTAAGCACATGACTATAAGTGGTGACTGCCTTCCTGATTTCAAAGACAGATTGACCAACTGTTTTGTATTTCACTAGATGGCACAAACAGTTGCTTACACCACTCATTTTCATTATTCCCTTGTGTTTTTTTATAATTTAGAAATTGTAAAAGCAATAAGGTTTACTCAATTTTAAAGATGTTTAAATTTTCTAAGCCTCATGTTACCTTCTGCTGTGGTTGTTAAGCATTTTTCTTTTGGTTAATAACATAGTCATGGTTTAGATTGATCAACTGGTCCCTTTGTTCTCATTTTATCAACTGACCAGACTGCTCTTAAAGGGTTCTCTTAAAATAGGGTTACAGATATGAAGTATAAAGACTAATAAAATATTTTTTGCACCCAGATCCCCCTACCTTAGCCATTGGATGTGTATTGGCACTAAATTTTGTTCCTTTGTCTTACTTGTGTAAACTATGGAACGAATATATGACCAAAATTGTAATGCTAGAAAGAATTAGTATGGATCATATGCTCCAGTGTTCTCAGATTTGCTCTGCAATATTGAAAGACTTGGTTTGTTTGACAGACATTGAGGAAAAGATGCCAGGATAAAGGAAGCAGCTCATTCTCCCCTTTGGGGGTAAGGCTTAATAGTAAGTTTATTTTTTCAGAGCAGAAACTTGTTTATCTGTAAGGATGGACTATTAACAAAAAATGCTAAAATATTTTGTTATTTATTTTGAATAAAACAGACAACATTCTAGGCATAGTCCTGGAATCATTGGGCAGCTGTTAGTGGAAAGTCAAAGTGAATTTTTGAAAAATAACCTGGCCATATTTGTATTGAATAAAAAAGTAAATACTTTGACACAGCATGATTTATACAAAGTTTGCATCAGAGAAAGAGAACTAAATGACTAAGCCTATGAGAATTTTTTCTTTCCTTGCTTTAATTTCTGTATAGCCAACATTCTTATTCTTTTAAAAAAAAAAAATGCTGTGTAGGGCCTTCCCGGTGGCGCAGCGGTTGAGCGCTGGGTTGCGAAGCTGCCCGCAGCCTCTGCAGCGCCAGTTCGATCCCCGGCTGCTCCCCGGCCACTGGAGGAGGGTCCCACATGGCGTGCAGACCTCTCTTGCCGCCCGCTGCTCCCCTCAGCAGTGTACTTCGGTCCTTCTGCCTGCTCTGCTCCCCGCTCTGGCTCTGGTGAATTCTCTCAGCCTCCCGCGCTTCTGACTGTACCCAGTGCATGTATAACCAACCAACCAAACAAACAAATAAATAAATAAATAAAGCATGCCTCTATAAAAAAAAAAAAATGCTGTGTAAAAATCTATAAAACACAGAAAAATTGAGTCAACGAATGATTTTCACAAAATGAAGAAGCCTTGCTAATTGACTTAATGTTATGGTGTAAAGACTGTTTCAATCTAACATTCCTCGTAGAGAACATTGCTGAGACATCCCTGGAGAGGATCCTGTCAATGCTTCAGGGTGCATTAATATGACCTGCAAATGCCAGTTTTCTGTTGAGGATACACGGCTTCACATATTAAGAAGATATTGGATTTATTTATCCATTTCTCACTATTAATCTTTTTTTCTTAGATAAAGGAACTAAGGATCCTTTTTTCACTTGAAGTCCACAATTTTCTGAAAAGTACAGGGAATACTCTGTAGTTTTATAGTTTTGGACAAGTGAGAGACACTGGCTTTTTGATAACTTGGAGTCCATTTCTCCCAGATAAACTGGGAATCCTATTCTGTGAGAATTGATAGGACTCAGGACATCCCCAGTGCTACGAACTTCAACCTGCCTGTTGTTCAACAAAAGTCTGTGTTTATGATTTCACTTGTTCATTCCCAAGAGTGTTGCAATTTATTTTCCATGAAAATAAACCTATGGTCTCCTGCATCAAGAGCAGATTAGCACTTCTGCAAGCATAACCATTTTCTTCTGGAAATTGGTACAATTGCCTTTTTCATCAAGAAAGGAGCCCCTTTTTGATACTTTTTGAGCAGGATTGCTCCTCCTCTTGATTTCAGTGAAGTTCAGCTTCAAGATCACCTAGAGGATTAATGTTTTAGTGAATAGTTGCTGCCTTGTTTTCCCTGGACTGTCCTTATATTGAATTCACATTGACGAAAAGGGTGAGATGTATAATACTTAAGGTATCACTTTTTGTCACTCTTAAATGTATACAACATACAGAATTTATGTCAGAGTTGTTGACCCATTCTTTAAAAATAAATTTATATAACCTGTACATTGTATAACAAATTTATATGAATGAGTTTTCATGGTGTTCTCTTCAAATATATGTCAGTATATTTTGTTTAAAGATTACTTTTCTTTGCCATTCTTTTCCCCCTATAATCTAGTAGGAATCTTAGTTTGTCTTTCCAGATTATCATATGTCATAACTAGTTAATCCTGAGTAAATTATGACTTTCTGTCTGTCAGATTAAATGTGATGTTCTCCTGCTTGCAAATATGCAACTGCTAATAGTGCTGAATTATCACTGGGACCTCAGAGCTAATTTCCTCCCAAGTCCAGGGAAAATACTGACTTCTTCCCACCTCCACAAGAAATTTTGAGCTTCCCACATTAATGAAAAAACATTTTCCAAAGTAAATGGGAAAAAATTCATTTTATTCTAGTTGTTTAAATTTGCATTAAAATAAGCTGAAAATTTGAAATAATGATTGAGAACAATAGATTGGATTTGGGAATTTTGAGGCTACTCTTATTTTTAATAAGAAGGAAACTTCTGTGGGAACTATGAATGTCATTACATAAGACAAAGGTAAATTTTGCTATTTCCAATGAGGGTAATTAATGATAGTGATTTGGGGAATCTTGTGAAGAATCTAGAATAAAGCCCTGTTGTCATTAAAAGTGGTCATAGATATGCATATTCTTTAATGAAAGTGATAGTTTTAATATATCATACACTACTATCTTAAGAAATTGAACATGAGATGATATGACATAAAGGCTGAGCTTGTGGAACCACATTTAACTTGGTCCAGTTTGGAACCATTTACTAGCTTTAAATTCTTGTTAAAGTTGCTAAACCTTCACCATTTTGCTCTCTCCATCTGTAGGATAAAGAGAATACTTATTTCACTGAGATGATGTATGTGAGAATTAAATAAAATATAATGTAGAAAAAGTCCTTGTAGGGCTTCTTTGGTGGTGCAAGAGGTTAAGACACAACCTATGAAGCTATCCACAGCCACTGTAGCACGGGTTCAATCGCTGGGCAGAGAGCTACTACCCACATGGCACAGCAGACCTCTCCTGACTCGCCTGCTGCTTCCCTCAGCAGTGTATTTCAGTTAATCTGCCTGTTCTGCTCCCCACTCTGCACCCCAGTTCTGCTATGCATGAATAAACAAATCTTTTTTTAAAAAAGTCCTTCTATAGTTCTGGGAACAGAGTAAATATTAAAACATGATTCAATAAATTTTAGCCATTTCTATTCCAGAATAATGAAAATTTGTCCCTAGGCTATTAAGCACACAAAGGACAGCTTACCATCACTGTGGTTGAGTGTGAATAAATGCAGTAATTCAGATATGTAGTTATTCTTTGGAATTGATTCTGAATTTCAGACATTACATTTATGTTAATATAAGATGTAATAATTATCTAAAAGGAAATTATTTTATTATATCAAAGGGTACAATTTATAGTTTTCCCACAGTGTTATATTTCCTGAACAATAATATTTCACAAAGTACTCTTATAACTTACTTTAGGATAATGTGAGAGAACAATAAAGAAGCATATCTCTACTAAAATAAGCAAATCACAATGAGTAGTAGAAGTAGGAACCACTTCACATAAAATATTAATTATTTTAAAGCAAAGTTTTGTCGAAAACTGGCCCTGAGTCCTTCTTCTATATCCTGGCTATCTGCTTGCTTTGATTTGGAAACCTGGTAACTGATCACTTTACAGTTTGGTTAAGTGGTAGACACAGGTAATTTCAGGACCCACCTTTCCACATAATTGCCTCCTGAAGTCCCTTACTCTATGTGCATTTTTGAGGGGCCCCTAAACTCAGTGACAACTCAGGGAATAAAATCTGAAACATCTTTCCACTCAGGTTAAATTAGTGATTAAATTTTAATTTCCTTTAGCTATTCAGAGACATTCTTATCTATAAGGGCACAGATTATACTAGCCAATCAACAGCAAGACCTCTGCCAGATCATCGGTTACTAGGTGAGCCAGCCTCTTGGGCTGTCCATAGAGTTAAAGCATTTTCCAGGATTGAAATAGCTGAAAGATTGAAGGGTCTTATTTACAATTAAGTAATCTGTCCAAATCTAAAATTGTGCAATAAACATCAGATTAAAGGTATTCTAACTTGTAATCACCTTTCTTCCATCACCTTAACTCCTAAACTTGCTGACATGCACATTATCAAAGCTGCTCTGTCTTCAAGTGAGAGAAAGCAATGTTCCTAAAAGGCTCAAATTTGTGTGCATGTCACTGGTCAACATAGAGCTGGTTCACAATACAGACCATATTAAAATGGTCAGATTGAACTGGATCAGACCTTTAAATTACTAAATTAATCCTTTTAATGCAGGAAATTCTAAGTTTTAGAATAGCACCTTCAAACTGAATCGCTGACCAGCAACTGATGATATTATTCATCTCTGATGCTGATTGGTTCTCAACACTCAACACCCAATCCAGGAACAAAGATTTCTTGGTTGGTATTATTTGTGAAGTGGTGAAGGAGGGTCCTAGTCCACACTGAGTGAGACTCGCCTGCTCCTCTGCACCCTGTCCTCACTTGTTTTCAGCATGGCGTGTCTGTGCTTCCCAGGAGGCTTCTGGATGGCAGCTCTGACAGTGATGCTGATGGTGCTGAGCCCTCCTCTGGTTTGGACCAAGGATGTTCCAGGTAAGTGCACACACAAGCTGGTGGGCTATTGTGAGTAGGGGAAGGAAGGCCGTTAGCTTTGTCACTATGTTCAGGCTGTGTACCTTAGAAAATTGTCATGTTTTCTTTAATGAACACCTATCTTAACATATGGGTACTCAATTCCACCCAGAACAAAAAGAACCTGGATTCTGGCCCTCTCTACAAGACATGTATAAAGTATGTCCTTATATTTAGACCATTTCCACTCAATGGTCTTCAGCCTTGCATTCCATTCCTCCAGAATAATGATTTCATCAATGTTAAAAATAATGATGTTAAAATAATTTACATACAGAAGTTTCCTTTTATTATGTTGAGAGTGCCAGAAAAAGAGAAATTTTCTCTGAAAAGTTAACAGGGAATGAAAAGAATTAGAAAAATCTCTCCTAGTTATGCTGAGCAAAACAAATCAGAAGGAGACAGACAACACTGGATATTTTTACTTATATGTGGAATATAGAAAACAAAGCATCAGACAAAACCAAAACAATAATAAACCCTAGAAATCTGACTGTAGAACTAAGAGTACTAGACTGGAATGGGGAGGGAGGTAACAAAGTCAGGGGCATGATTGACTATGGTAGCTTGATGTTGGGTGTGCATCTGGGGAGGTGTGATCTTATGTTTCTGATTACATACAGTGTTGCAAAGCAATGAAGAAAGAGAGAGAGAGAGAGAGAGAGAGAGAGAGAGAGAGAGAGAGAGAGAGAGAGAGAGAGAGAAGGAAGGAAGGAAGGAAGGAAGGAAGGAAGGAAGGAAGGAAGGAAGGAAGGAAGGAAGGAAGGAAGGAGGAAGGAAGGAAGGAAGGAAGGAAAGGAAGAAAGGAAGAAAGAAATCTCTTCTAGAAGAACCTGTGTTTTAGCCTCAATGGGATCTGTGATCCTGGTGCCTTTCTCTAATATGTCAAGATGTATCAAGAGGTTTCTCACATTACTTCCTTTCTATTCTCCCTGAACTCCAATGTTTGTAAACCAGATCCCAGTATTAGAGGTTCTCTGAAAGAAGTTGGGATTCCTGTTTTATCTTTTTTTCTTGTAGAAAGTACCTTGGCCTTAAAGCAGATAGCCTTAGTACTCGGGATGATCCTGTAGGTCAGGAGCATCTAGGAGGTGTTCTTTCTGCCATAAAAACTTAAAACATCTTCTGAACACCACACACAGATTGGTGTTCATTATGAACCTATTTTGAATCTTTCTATAATATAAATTTCTCTTACCTCTCTCCATTCTCTGGCCTCACTCTCAAGAAAGAATTCAACCAGCAATGGATAAATGATATAAAATTGTTTTTTAAGTAAAAAATAGCAAAATATTACCAATATCATTTGGTTCAAATTGTACACCCTGAGCAATGGTGCAGAGTGTTAAAACTGTTTACATTCCATAGAACTGGAAGTCAGTAGGTTAATCCAGGAACTCATTGATCTACTGATATGTTGACCCTAAATTTCATAGTTTCATTTATCATGCTATTTTCATTAATTAGTCATATTTAGTTACCTCTGCTTCCCATTCTTCCTTGTTCTTTTCCCAGTTATGTCATCATTGATACTGAAAATGCCCAAAGTTGGTATAGACCCTTAGTACTACAACATATTCATTGAATGAAATGAATTGTTTCCTTTTTCTTAAAATCACCTCATTATATATGAATGTTTCTTATAACTAGTAGGAAAAGAAAGAGAAAAGTTGTCTCAGTTTTTTAGATGAGGCAGAAAGAATTTAACATGCCATCAGAACGGAGCTGCCTGCTTTCCAGGATCCCCACAGTGTTCAAACCCCAGAACCTTGAGCAATTCTAATAAACTGGGCTCTGTTCTAGGCTCAGAGAATTCTATTTGAATAAGATAGAACTTACCAGATGATAAGAGACAAAGGCAATAGCTTAATAAATATTTAATGAAGGAAAATATTCTGAGAAAATGTGCTCTGAAAAAAATATGAGGTTTCTAGACAGAGTTGAATTTGCCTCACATCAGTGAAAGTGGTGTGGAAACTTTCCCTGAGAAAGTGACATTTTGTGGAGACAAGAAAGATGAGAAGAAGCCAGTCAGTCATATGAAGAGCTAAGGAGCAAGTATTCCAGAGAGAGAGAACAGGGGAAAGGCCAAAGTGTGAGAAGATGTTTGCTGTGTATAAGACACAGAAAAGAGGCTAAAGTGGCTGAAGTGTAACAAATAGGCTGGGCTTTGAGGAGGCTGCAGAGGAATTCACCTGACCGTCATGGTATGAAATTTGAATTTAATTTAAATAAACATGATATAAGTATTGTAGTACTTATGTACTGTCATTCCTTTAGAGTGAATGTCTTATATATTAACACATGTTCTAATGTTTTTGAGGTGATATATTAAAATTTTCATTTTCTTAAAATAAGGAACAAAAAGTAAACCTGAAAGTTCAGTAATTTTATTTATTTATGATTATTATTATTTTTTATTTTTTACATCATTGTTCATTTTTAAACAATATTTGCTTCCCCCACCCCCTCAAGTGTAGTCCCTATAGAGTGAAAACTCGGTAATTTTAGATAAAATGATTTTAGAGATTTAACAAATGTTTATTATTATTCTCAGTTAAACCTAAGTTTTATAAGGGATTTGGGTGACCATTTAAATAAGGATAACTGGATTAGCCCTTCTGGAAAAGAACTCTCAAGAGAAGATTAGGTATTAATATTTAAAAGCAAATTTATCTTTGCTGACATGGATCAAGTTAATTATTCTTTTTCTGTTGAGTACCAAAGCTTTCTTTTTAAGTAAATACCTAGAATAAAAGTACAAATGTCCAACATTGTAGTTTTAAGGCACATAACTAATTTGAACACACGAATCTCCCCAGAGGCAAAAGACACACAAAAAAATACAGTTACCGAGATTTCTTGATTTTCATTTAAAATTTTAGCAATTTGTACTAATTTTAAGAAAAAGTTATTTTACCAACATTTGTGAAGACACTAAGAACTTTTATTAATTTAATTTTCAAGCAGCTTTTAATTCCTATAGAAAAGAACATTTTTAAGTTTGCATTTTTAAGAATGATAATTTTTGGCTTTAAATTGAGGCAGAAGATTTACATTGGTTCCAAAAGTCATTGTTTTTTACTTGTTCTCATTGAGGCCAAAGGCATTTTTAAGACAAAAGAACACCTTATTTATGGACCATGAGGAAGACAGAAGAGAGAGATTAAGATCTTACATTGTAGTTTGCCAGTTTTTAGACTCATAAAAAAATCTGAGGTTTCGTATTTAGCTCACAGAAATCTGCGTTTTTACTGAATAGTTTTAAGTAATTTAGGGTTTTTTTGTTTTTGTTGTTTGTTGTTAACTGAGTCTGGAAGTGTTTTTTTTAAGACTAAGTCAATACAGGGAAATAGAATTCTTTTACCCATGAACAGTATCTTAAGGTGGACAAAAGGAGAGTCCAGTTCTCACCACAGATGAAAGGCACTAGAGACAAATCAATTATTTTAACATTGGAGTAAAGATTTAGGCAGTTATGACACTGGACAATGAGCACCCAAACTGGCAAAGGACAGTGTCCAATTTAACGGTCACTATCTGAGTTCTTCACCTGCGCACAACTGCAAGACCACGTAGGCTCAGAGAACAGCAATAACAGGATTTATTTAACAAACAAGGGAAAACAGTCACCGTGGCCACTGGCGGCCAGTTACTGCGCCCCAAAGTGTGCCCAGCGTTTTGAAGTCCTAAACAAAAGGCATCTAAGATGGCATCTTCCAGCCACTGAGGGCCTAGAGTATGTTGTGACAGCCAGACTATAGGCCAGGATCCAACTCTCAAGGACAGCAGGAGACACAACAGGAGATGCTACCAGAACTGCCGAGATGCCCCAGCACAGCACCACACATGCAACACTCAAAACAATAGCTGCAGCAGCCAAACTACCCAACACGCAGCCACACTCACACAGCTCAGCGAGGCGCCAGGCTCCAGGTTTTTGCCTTCTCTGGCAGGCTGTAAAGGCAGCAAAATCGGGCACAGTTGAAGCTACTTGGCTACCTGCAAAGCCTCTCAACGTTTTTCCTCTGAAGTTGGCTATTGGAAGCCTCTCCATGTCCTTCAGAGGCCCACAAACTTCTGGAAGATCAGCCTGGTGGGGGATGGAAGGGCTGACCCTGGAATCGCTGAAGACCCGAAAAAGCTGAAATCGTGAAAAAGCTGAAAATCCCGGGTGTCTGCTTCTGCAGTCCCTTATATTTCCTGTGAGAATCTCCAGCCCCACTGTTCCTTTATCTGTATTTTTCCTGATACTATCCACCCTTACCAGCATCCCCCTCCAGGGGGCGCCACTGTAACAGCCTTTGGCTTCAGCTCCTGGTTAGTTGCTTGTTGAGAACCAGGGAGTCCCCTGCCCCACCCCCACTGCACTAGTAAGTTGTAGTGGGTCTCCTATTTTAGTTTCCATTGTTTAACCTTTTGCCCCAGTTGTGGCAAAAGAGGTTTAGTTGGAGAATAGTATTGTAATTGATACTTTTTTTCCTGGGCCAGGACTTTTTATTTTTTAGTTTGTAGGCTGGCCAGGCAGTGGTAAAAAAGATCAGGCACAGGCTTTTTTTTTTTTTTTTTTTTTGAGGGATTGAAGATTGAAAGAGTCCCAGTTTTTGAGGATGGAGTTTTGAGGTAGTGGAGGGTTTATTTTTTATTGGGAAGAGAATGACAGAAAAAGCACCCCCTTTTGATCTGTAGCAACGAGGATTCCTTTTTGGATCTCAGGCTTGTGGAGGGTAGGTCATTTGTACCCACAATTTTAGGGGTAGGGTCTGGTAGGATTAATTGTCCTTATCTATGTCACCGACCCTTGTCCTGTCCATAGTTTTTTTCTTTTATCTGGACACGCCTGTGGTACATCAACCCAAGGAAGTGTCTTAAATGTCAGGTGAATTTGTCAGAATTGGTAGAAGGAGAGCTGTTTTTTGGATTTTAGAGAAATGTTTATGGTGAGTGTAAGGTAAATGGTT